GCACTGGGTAGGCAGGCGTATATATAGGGGGTCGTGCAACTGCGGGTGGGTGAGCAACGTGGGCGGGCTGCCATCCACGTTTGGCAACCATGGGCAGGCCGCCGTACGTGTTCTGGTAGTGTGAGCAAGCTTCATTCGTGTAGGGCATGCAGTGGACCAGACGATCATCGTATGGCTTCCATCGGTGCGTTCTAACAGCACCGCAAAGTTCGAGCAACTGCGAACGAGTTTATTTTTCCTTAATTATTTTTCAGTTTTTTACAATTTTTTTGGCTGGATAACCGTCGAAAAAAATTTCCGGCAAAAAAGAAAAAATTCACTGAAAAATTTTCCACGAAATTTATTTGCCGGAAAAAATTACAGACGCTCGATTTACCATAAAAAACCTTTTAGCTTGAAATTAACTGGAAAATTTATTAATTTCCACCAAAAAATTGCCAGTAATACGTGATTTTCCTGTAGTGTGTAGGTAGAAATAGTGTGTTCATCATGTAGAAGTGATGCATCTCTCACATCTCATTCATTATTGCTAGCATGAAAATCCATCTACTTGTATGGGATAGATGTATTTTCTTGACACTAAACTATTGTAGATTGTATGGATATCCTCGCATTTATTGCATGCATCTGTATATGCATGTATGGGAAATCATTAATTGCAGGCAGGTTTAATGTGTTAATCTATATAATTATTTGAAAAAGAGAGTTGGCTGAATTTTAACATGTCTAAATGTACTTTCATTGATGGCGAAGGAACATCTATGGTACAATGTATCATTGTCAGTAGGATCATTATTTTTAGTAAGCAAACTCTTCCTATTAATTATTTGGGAACCCCTATTCACAAAGGCCACAAAAAGTCTTTTCTTTTTGATAAGATGTTTACTTTCATCTCTAATAAACTTTTTCTATAAAAATTCAAATGTCTTTCCATGGGTTCTAGACTTATTATTATTAAAAAGTGTTCTTTGTTCTTTGTCTATTTATTTAATTTAGACTATGGACCCTACTATGGAAGTGTGAAACAATTTTGATAAAAGTATTAATAGATTTTTTGGGGTTTATCTTTAAATTCTAAGAAAATTTATTCGACTAATTGGGAATCTTTCACTGGTCCTTTTAATGAAGGTGGTCTGGATTAGAAATCTATTTCTAATATGGTCAAAGGTTTCTCTTATAAACTATGGTGGAAGTTTAGAAATAATGAATCAATATGGGCCAAGTTTATGAATTTGAAATATTGTAATAACAAGCATAATTCTTTAAGTTATTTTAAAAATGGCCAATTTGTGATTTGGAATAGGCTGTGTAAAATTAAATGGTTGGCTGTGTAAAATTAAATGGTTGGCTGAAGCTATCCTCCAATGGGAATTACGTAATGGTTCTTCATATTTTTTGTAGGATGATTGGATTTGAAAGGGTCTCTTGATTCCCCTTTCAATACTCATTCTACATCCTCTTTGAAGGTTACAGCCTTTATTTCTAATAGCCACTTGAATGCAACATGCTTTGAACAATCTTTCTTATGAAATTATCGAGTCTACATTTGAAATTCCTCTTGATCCTACTCTTAATGATAGTCTTATTTTTAAACTCTCTAGATTAGTGAATTCAATCTCAAAAAATCTTGGAATAATTTTAGAAGTAAAAAAGATCATATTAACACCATTTTTAATAAAATTTAGAACCAATCTACTCCTCTATATGCTTCTATTCTTACTTGGAGAAGTTTAAAGGGGTTCATTCATATTGATATTTGTCTGCAAAAAAAAAAGGCATTCAATTGGTGTCCAGATGCCAATGTTGTTCCCAAATTGAGACTTTACACCATATTTTTCTGGATGGTCCTTTGGCCATCAATGTTTGGTCTAATTTGGAGAATGGTTTAAGCATTCATGTGCTTCAGAATAATGGCAATTTCTTCTCTTTTTTGGCTAGATGATTTTTCAACAAAGCTAAAGGGAATTTCTATATCGTCATTCCTTTAATATTTTTTATTATTATTATTTGGAAGGAAAGAAACGATAGTAAACATGGAAGCATAAAAATAAGTCAGGAGAGAATTATTATTTCTCTTAAAGCTAAAATTCACTACCTCTTTATGGTTGAGGTGCTGAAGCTCCATCATATTATAATAGTAACAATATCATATTACTCTATTAATTTAACATCAATAGCCATTATTCTACTTTGACTATGTGTTCTATTATTCTCAAATGGATTAAGCCCTTTTCTCATGAGTTTAAGTTGAATATTGACGCGTCTGTTAATAAGGATGGAGTAGGTTGTGGTGGTCTTATAAATGATAACAATGGCCACTTTATTGTTGGTTTTGCTTCGAACATTTCCAAGTGTAATACTATTTTTATTATGAAATGTATACTTTATATAAATGTTTACTTCTTTATATTGAGAATAACAGTACTAATGTTTGTATTGAGATCGATTCCAATTTACTGTTGTCTTTAGTGAATGCCCACAAATGCCTTAATGCCAAGTTATTTTATCAATTTAGCAAAATTATGGGTTAATCAACAAGGTGCAGTTTAGAATTTCACATATTTGCTGTGGAGGAAAATGTTGTGCTGATTGGCTTGCAAAGTTAGGGTCGAAGACTGCTAATACGCTCTACGTTGATAATAACTCTACTCATAGGTTGCTTAGATGTATGGTTAGAATGGATAGGATTGGATGGGGATTCCTTATATTATGTTTTGATGTCCTTTCTTGTTTTCGATTTTGTTGTTTCCCTGGCTACCTTATGGTTTCTCCAGGTGGTGGTGATAGTTGTCTTCTTTCATTATTTTCCTGATGGAATTGGGAGTACTCATTGATTATCTTATCTTCTTCTTGGTGGGACTAATTTATATATTCTTATTGCTATTGGTCTCTTTAACTATGGGGTTTTGGAGCTTTAGCTTGTTTTATTTTTCTTTATTGTTTATATTGGTTGGTTGGTAGTTGGGTTAGGTTTTGTCTTTGTGGCTAGTTTGCTGGCTGGGTTGCATTGGGTTTTTGGGGGCTCAGGTGCTTCTCCTGAGTTGCGTCTTTGGCTTTGCTATCTTCTGTGGTCTCTGAGGTTGTAGTGTTTTTCTCTCTGGTTTGGGTTATTTTTTCTAGTATGGGTTTGTCGTTATGTAACATCTCTACTGTTAATTTTTGGGTTGCCAATTACTTCTATTGTCTTCTTTTACAGGTTGTGGGTTGCTCTCATTTGGATTAGTTGCACGCAACCTTCTACTATTCTCTGCTTTGGGTGAGTGTGCTTCCTTTTTTTCCTTCTGTTCAACTTGTCTGATGCATGTATTTTTTGCTTGTCCTGACGGTCTCTTTTGGTCTTCATGATGGTGGATACAATGCAGTTGTTGGTTTATGTTGTGATTGTTGCTTATTTTGGCCGTTGATCTGTATTAGTTCTTTCTCTATTTTTTGGGTGATGGCTACTTGCCTCCCATAGAATTTACCTAAGATTTTTTGCTCTATGTAATTAGTTGAGATATTTGGTTCCTAATTAATTAAGGTTTTATTTTCTCTTTAATTGTAGCCCTTCTAAGCAATAGCGAGCATTAGATATCTCTTAAGGATTTGTACTTTTTGCTTATATTAACACGTAAGCCTGTGGTGAGTTTTATCCAACAAAAAAAATATATTTTTTCTTATCTTTTATGAATTAGGAAGCAGCCCTTCTATTTTCTTTAAATCAAACGCTATTTTAATTTAATACAATATCTAAACTCTATACACCGCTTCCTTTATTTTACAAGCATCCTCCAAATCAAGAAACTCACAATCAATATCTTATACCCCAGTTAGCTCCCTGAAGCTCTCATCCAAACTAAAGAGAGTTGTGGCCTAGTCTTTTTTCCTCACCTTGTCACTCCCTAAAACTTAACCAAATTCTATCATCTACTCTAATATATAAGATATAATCCTAATTTAACCATCCACCATAAATCCAACCCTTTAAATTACCTAAAAATTTGTTTACAAAGTGATCTTCCATGTCGATCCAAGTTAGAGTTGTCTTGGCATTCCTTCCACTAAAATATATCATCACAAGTTAAATTCATAATAAAAACCAACAATCTACCCCACCAAAAGGCCACTTACCACCACAAGGCATAATCAAAATGTTTTTCCTTAATTGGGTCATATAAATTAATTTGATTATTAAAGAGGCCACGAATCAAATGCCTACTAAATATATATATATAAAGAGAGATAGAGAGAAAGATCGAGATCCAGAGAGATTGAGAAAGAGAGAGAGAGAGAGAGAAAATGATCAAAATAATTCCTTGATTTTTTATGAAAGATCAAAATAATCCTCAACTATATTAATGGATCATTTTAGTCTCTTAAATCCTTAAAGAAAAACCAAAATCATCCCATCATGAAACTATTTTGATTCATTTAAAAAGAATTAAAAGATCAAAATAATTTTTTAATATAGTTGAAAATCATTTTGATATTTCTTAAAAAGTCAATAAACTATTTTGCTCTCTCTCTCTCTCTCTCTCTCTCTCTCTCTCTCTCTCTATATATATATATATATATATGTATGTATTGGATGGGAGGTGTGGGGACACTTATTTTTTATGCTTAGGCTTTGTTTGGGCAGCTTTTCATAAAGTAATTTTTTATAAAAAAAATTAAGTTTAATAAATTTTTATATTAAAAAGTTACTTAAAAAAATAAGAAGAAAATTGTCCCAAACCATGCATTAGTTGAAGTAACCAAACAAACAAAGCCCATATGATCGAGAGCTCCAAGTAAAAGCCTCGCAACACTTACCAAATCACAAGTTAGCTTTGATGGATCATGGATCAATCGGTAAATTTAACCCTACACAGCCATGAATTACTGCAGATCTTTTTCAGTGGAATCTGCATGCATTTCTTCTTTCCTTTCGTTTTATAATTTTTAATTTTAAGTATTTTGACGCAGAAATAACCTTTTTCAAATACAAACATAGAAATAAAAGCTTCTTTAGAAGGGAAAAATAAACAAACTGATATTACCGGTAATATATTGCTTAATCATAATACATTCATATAGTATATATTGAGTGTAAAACAAATAACTTGAAATCTTATTGCCCATGGTCCGAGATATGGGCATCTTTTGTCTGCTACCTTTGCTGAATTTAATGCCTTATAATAGTAAAGGACGCCTAGTTTACATAGACTCACAGTGTTGTGGTCCTTTCTCTTAGGTCTTATCAAAAGACAGCAATGGAATCTCCTCTCTTCCTTTTCTCCTTCATTCATCCACTTCTACATATGAAGCTTTTCTTCTGCCTTCTAATTTCTAAAGATAAAAATCGCCATTACATAAGCTTGATGGTGAAATGAAAGAACAGAACTATAACTAAACTGAAGGAATCACTGCATTCTCTTACCTTAGTTTGCTGTTCTCGTCTCTTTTAACCTCTCAGTTCTGTTGGAAAGAAAAGATGCTATAGGGATCAACTTGGTGGTCTAGGGCTTCAGTTTGGCCACCCACATGCATATAAAAACTCTCTGAATCCTGAACGAGGTGTACAGATTCAGAAGAAGACGACAACTGTTAAGTTTATTGAAGGATTGATAACTGGTTAAATAAGGAAGGAGAAAATAGTTTTGACTAATGTGATTCTATTAAAATTAAAATAGAAAATGATATTTGCATTATGGCTGAATCTGATGGCCAAACAAAGCGACCAAAAATGGATAGGAGAGTTTTTTTTTTAATAAAATTGCAAAAGATATATTTATACTGAGATTAGGGTCTGTACTAATCTCAGCATAAATCTAATAAATATTAATATAATTTTATCATAATTTTTGTTAAGATATTCTGATATGTTTTTTTTTTCTTAGATTATGGCATATGTTTTGATTTATTTTGTGCTTATGATTCTCAATAAATAGCTCAATATCTTGTAATTGTCTTAAATAACAATCGCATGAAATATTTATTTTTATATGAAAGAGATAAGAAATCTTTGCTAAAATATAAAAAAGTTTCATAATTATTGATTGATTTAAAAATATATAGGAAATATGACTTTTGCTCCTCATAATTCACACATTTGGACTATTACATTCAGTATAAATTTATTTGGATAAATATCTTTTAATTTTTTTTTTTGGAGAGAAATATAAGAAATTAATGGAGAATAATTCCTAACTTGCAAATATTAGTAAAAATTTAATATAAATATTTTGGTTTTTTATTTAAATTTATAAAGAAAATTTCTTATTCTGGTGAGTTGGTGAGCACATTTTCAATAAAATGAAGTAATATGAGCTTTCTCCGTCCATAAATTTACTTTAAAGTTTTGTTTGGAACAGCTTTCTTACAGCTTCTTAAAATAATTTTTTAGAATAAAAAGTTTAAATTTTCTACTTTAAAAGTTTTTTAAGAAGCACTAAGAATGTCGTCCCAAACGAAGTCTATGTTTAGAATTAGATCAATGATTTGAACCTCTTATTCCAGTTATATTTTGAATCAGGCTTGAACCAAATTTGAGCAGGGCATAGACCTATGTGCTACTATGCTGAAAGTAGCAAAGTGAATGAAGGCGATGCCTCCATAGTTCATCAATTGGTGCAAACTAGAAGGATTAGCATTTTGCAAAGGCTTTGCCCTTTGCCAATCCATCATCCTACTCATCGATCCATGTATGGCCACCGTTATTGTTGATGATGAAGTAGAGAAAATGTAAAACCTTTGCTTTTTAAAGCAATTTTTTAGTACAAAAATTTTAAAAAAGCAACAAAAAAATAAGGATAAAGCTGATCCAAACTAAGCCTTTGTTCAAAATTATACATTAAGTGTGATAAATTAACATTTCTTATAATTTACTATCTATAAACTATCACAAACAATGAAGTAACATAAAAATTCGAAGAAAAATAATAAAAAATGTAAAATATAAATTACTCAAAATTAAAACATATTTAAATAAACAGAAAAATCAATAAATTTCAATATCTTGCAATTTTAAATATTCCTCATTAACAATATTTATTTTTGTCATTTTATTGTCATATAGAATTTATTAAAATATCTATGCATAATCAATTTGATAGTGGAACTATGGGGCCACAAATTGTTTTTGATTGAAAACCTGAGGAAATTGTGCGGGTCTCTGTCCATAGAGCGCAGTACTGGATGAAGAGACCATCACTGCGATGTTGTCTCCTGTGCTTTGATATTGGCTGGAATGGACCATGGATGACAGTAGTTGTGGATCATTACTGTCCAGATTCTGAAATTATTCTAATTTTTATTAGAAATAAATTTTGAATTAATAAAGAAAATATACAAAAGCTCAGATCTTTGTTCTTGCCTCTTTTGTGCTTGTGAAATCATCAAAATTCAGCCCAAGTTCATACAGAACTGGATCCACTGAAGCAAGCTTCATCGATAGAAACTGGAAAATTTGTTGGATAGCAGAGCTTTCTCATGATCAGAGCCTTCAGGTTAAGCTAAAAAAGAGTATGGAAAGCAGTTGAAGTTCAAGATTTCTTAATTACCTCAACCTGATTCTGTAAGGATTCGACATAATTTATTATCTGATCCAGAACAAGGGCTTTCCCAGTAACCTGTTCATCAAAGCAGCACATATTACAGGAACACTTTATGTATTGAATTGTATTACTATCAACTTTGAAAATACAGAAAGAATATTGATTCATTGGGAGATGGGGGGTTCACCTTCCCGCAGCCTGGAACAAGATCTTGCAGTATTTTCATCCTCTTACTTATCCTCTCCCTTCTCGCCTAAGAAATCCATGCATGTTCGTAAGGCTTTAATGAATTCAAGAAGCTAAATTTGAAAGAAATTAAAGTTTTTAATAAGGATCGAGTACTCTTTCTGCAAGGCTATGGCTGTCCGTTGCTTGGCCTCTCCTTGCTCTCACATGAATGTATTCTGCTGGTGGCTTCTTCTCCTCCATTTCCATCTTCTCAAAATTGCTCTTCTTCGTTCTCGTACTCTTATTCTACTTGTGAAAATAATTAACCAATCTTATTAAAAAAAAAAAAAAAGAAAGAAGGAAGCTTTTTACTTTGCTGATATAACTCACCTTGGAATGGGCAGTGGTTAGGCAGTTTACATTGTTTCGTGTCCTTTTCTTCCTATGGGATTCTTCTGATTTCACCTTTGAGCTGCTAAATGTTTCTGTCAATGAAGATGGAGATGAAGGAAGAATGGATTCCTGTCGGTGATCGTAAGAGAGGAAGCAGAGCTCATTGCTTAGGTCTTCAGGCTCCCCATGAAAGTTGAAAGGAATGTATGAAGGAGAGTCAGGTATAAAGAATAACTGGCTCTGATCATTTGAGAACAGCTCCATCTGAAGAAGATTAGATACAAAGAAACTTAGAAGAAGAATGGAGGTCTCAAGTGCAAGCGTGCAATAAGACGCAGTTGCAGCCTTGCAGGCGATGCTTCTGCTAATCTTATATATAAAAGGTTAAGAACGAGGTGAAGAGATAAGAAACACTAGTGATGAGACAAGTCAAATACTAAACTGTAGACATCTCTGTACTGTCTCAATATTAATAATTGGGGTGGGGTCTTATAGGACCATGGGAGGAGGGTAAGTTCAAAAAGACTTCTCTTTCCCTCTTATATGAACCAATTTGAGCTCTTATATGAAGCCCAAATTGTTTGGATTTGACCACGTACGTAGATTTCAGTGTTGTTCTAACAGTTCATTGCAGCAAATCCTACTGAATGGCACAATAACAGAGGATAGAAAAGGAAAAAATGACCGACAAAAGCGGGCATTGTTCACAGGGCAAATTTTTAAAAGGATCAAGTTTTAAAACAGATTTAAGATAAGGAGCATAATATAATTTTAATTTAAAAAAGGAGCAAAAACGCACTGCATCATCACGTTTTCTTTAAAAACGCAAAAAAAAATTGAGTTTTAACATAAAACGTGAACAATGATTGCATTTTCTGTTAAAACGTGAATAGTAACTGCATTTTCTATTAAGAGAGGAAGCAGAAAATGCGGTTACTATTCACGTTTTAACAGAAAATGCAATCATTGTTCAGATTTTCTGTTAAAACGCAATTTTTTTTTTGCGTTTTCAAAGAAAACGTGATCATGCAGTGCGTTTTTGCTCCTTTTTAAATTAAAATTATATTATGCTCCTTCTCTTAAATCTGTCTTGAAACTTGATCCTTTTAAAAATTTGCCCTTGTTCACATTATTTCAGTCTATGAACTGTTAACAAAAATTATTTTAGAGAGTAAGCAAGTCACCACAGTACGTACTGCTTGCTTCTCATGATCATAAAGCATGAAACGTAGCACATGTAACAAGCATAACTAAATTTGAATTATATTCAAACTCTTTTGAAATATTAGGGTAGTAAGAAATTTTATTTAGTGGGGGCCTAAATTAAACGCTACAAGAAAATCATCTATTACCGACGCAATTTTCCGGCTATTTTCAGGCGGTCAATTTTTCGGCGGTTTTCCGATGATCAATTTTAGGCGGTTTACCATCTCATTTGAAATGTTATAATACATTAAAATAGTTCCGTTTTCTATTTGTTGGTCGCGAGTCGTGAGAGAGAAGCAAAGGGGAAACAAAGCAAACCGTTTGAGTCGAGGGAAAGCAAGCCATTTGGGAGTTGTCTCTGTTTAGGCCTGTGATATGATATTGTAGTTAGAGTAAAAAATTTTATAAGAAAGTTATTGTAAAAATTAGTTAGAAAACTATTCCAAACAAAGCCTAAAGCATATGTTTGCATGTTAAATCATAGAATTATTATGTATTATTTTTTATGAAAAAATGCTAATTTTCATATGTAAACTAATTTTTCACACTTAAATTTGCTTTAAAATGAGTTCAACACATAATGTATATTACATATATCTCAAAAATAAATACAATACTTTTAAGATCCATTTTGACCAAAACAGTGATCAATAAATCATGTAACTATTTTCTTATGAATATTTTACATACAATAAAAATCGTGACAGAATAATTATAGTTTGTACCTCAAGCTCTTAATTTTCCTATAAAACATATTGTTTTAATCTCTTATATCACTTGTAGCCAATAAATAATATTTTTATGCACGTGCCCCCCCTTGCCCCCTTCCTCCGCCCTTGATTACAACTAACTATAACTTAATCAATTTAAAAAAAAAAATATTAAAAATCTTCTAGCCTGCTTTTAGCCATATACTTTACAATAAAAAAATCAATATAAAAGAATATAAAATATTTATAAAAAGAAAGTAAAATTATAATGGTCAGAAGATGATTGTTGTTATATAGTGACTGGGTGATGATTGCCTGACAATGATAATCGGAGTAATGGTACTCGGGCGATGACAACAAAAATGTCATGAAGTGTCACCAACGACACTCATAAACTATTCATAAGACTTTAAGATTCTCACATCGATGTACTCATTTTAATCGAAAGGGTGCAAGTTTTGAAGATCATTTAGCTCTTCACAAAGCGCATGAAGTTTCCAACTATTATTTGAGTGCTTAGTTTAGGCTCTTTTGATGTCATCAGATTTGTCTCATTGAAACATTCATTATAACTATAAATTTATTAAAAGCAGACATTAGATGGAATTTGCATCAAGATTAATCTTTTATGAAAATCAAATATTGAGCTGAAATTTTTGAATAAAATATTCATTAGCGGTGATGCTAACTAATTAGCATTGACATATTTTGAAAATTTATTAAATAATTGAATGTGTGTATTTTAATTAATTACAGTATATATATATATATATATATATATATATATATATAATACTAAAATTTTTATT